CTCTTTGTCTCAAACCCAAATCTAACTGACTAGGAAGTCCTACCAACTCTACAAAAATGTGTCCAGAATCCAGCCCGGCTGGTGTGGCTCAATGGTTGAGCGTCGGCCCATGCACCAAGAGGTCACCGGTTCGATTCCCGGTCAGGGCACAGACCCAGGTTGTGGGCCTGATCCCCAATGTGGGGCATGCAGGAGGTGGCCAATTGATGTTCTCTCTCATCAATGTTTCTATCTCTCTCCCTCTCCCTTCCTCTCTCTCTAAAATCAATAAAGAGCCCTGGCTGGTTTGGCTCAACGATTAGACCATCTGCCTGCGGACTAGAGAGTCCCGGGTTCGGTTCCTGCTAAGGGCACGTACCTTGGTTGCAGTTTGTCCCCGGCCCCAGTTGAAGGTCGTGTTGGTGGTAACCAGTTGATGTGTCTCTCTCACATTGATGCTTCTCTCTCTCCCTTCCCCCATCTCTCCCTCAGGCTCTATCTGAGGATAACTGCAAAAAAAATTTTAAAAAGCCCTGGCCAGTTTGGCTCAGCGGTTGGAGCGTCGGCCTGCAGTCCAGAGAGACCCGGGTTCAGTTCCCGCTAAGGGCACATACCACGGTTGCAGTTTGTCCCTGGCCCTGGTTGGGTTGTGCGGGTGGCAGCCACTCGATGTGTCCCTTTCACGTTGATGTTTCTCTCTCTCTTTCCTCTCTCTCCCTCCCACTCAATCTGAACAAAAAATGGAAAAATGTCCTCAGGTGAGGATAAAAAAAAAAGTCCTCAGGCGAGGATAAAATAAAATAAAGAAAGAAAAAAAAATTTTTTTTAATGTCCAGAATCCAACCACTTATGGCCACCTCATCCTCTCACCTGGGTTATTCCAGATGTTTCCAAACTGGAGCACTGTTTCTGCACTTGTCTATTCTAAATGCAGCCAGGAGAGGAAGTCTTTAAAAATGTAAATCAGATTATGTGGTCTCCTGTCCAAACCCTCAGCTGCCGCCTGCCCATCAGGGGGATCACATCTGAACCCCACTGTGGCCCTGAGTGATCTGGCCCTGCCCACCTCTGTGACCTCACCAACACGCCATCCTCTCCGTGGTGCTTCAGCCATGGTAAGGTCCCTTCTGTTCCTCACACTCCCCCAGCTTGTTCCCACCCCAGGGCCTTTGCATGTGCTATTTTCTCAGCCAGGAAGGTTCTTCTCTCAGCTCTTTGCTTGGCCAGCAGTCCATTCAAGTCTCCTCAAAGTAGCCCTCTGTAGGAGGCAGCTTCTAAGATGGCTCCCATGGGTCCCCACCTCTGCCTCACCCTTCTATCCAGGGCGACTTGCTTCTAACCAATAGAACACAGCAAAAACAGTGAGATGTCCACCTCTCTCTCTAAAATCAATGAAAAAAATTTTTTTATCCTCACCCGAGGACATTTTTGCATTCATCTTCAGATAGAGCGGGAGGGAGAGAGAGAGGAAGAGAGAAACATTGATGTGAGAGAGAGACATCGACTGGTTGCCACCCACACAACCCCAACAGGGGCCAGGGACGAACTGCAACCGAAGTACATACCCTTAGCGGGAAATGAACCCGGGACTCTCTGGTCTGCGGGCTGACGCTCTAACCTCTGAGCAAACCGTCCAGGGCAATGAAAAAAAAAAATTGAAATAAAAGAGCTCTGGCCCATGTGGCTCAGTTGGTTGAATATTGTCCCTTGTGATGAGAAGTTGCCAGTTTGATTCCCGGTCAGGGCACATGCCCAGGTTGTGAGCCCAATTCCCGGTAGGAGGCGTGCAGGAGTCAACCAATTGATGTTTCTCTCTCCCTTCTTTTCTCTCTCTAAAATAAATAAAAATAGCCCAGCCTGTGTGGTTGAGCGTTGACCCATGCACCAAGAGGTCACTTGGTCACTTCGATTCCTGATCAGGGCACATGCCCAGGTTGTGGGCCAAATCCCCAGTTGGGGGCATGCAGGAGGCAGCCAGTCGATGTTTTCTCTCATCAATGTTTCTATCTCTCGCTCCCTCTACCTTCCTCTCTCTCTCTAAAATCAATAAAGAAAAATAAATAAACAATAAAATAAAATCAATAAAAAATAAAACAAGGGTGGGGGGAAGAGATAAACCACAGAACTTATATGCATGTACACATAACCAATGGACATGGACAACAAAGCTGGGGACGGGGCGGGGGGGGGATGGGGAGGAGGATGTCATTGGGGGAAAATGGAGAAACATCTGTAACAAAAATAAATTAGTTAATTAATTAAAAAATAAATAAAATAAAACAAAAAAGAATGGGATGTCTTTTAAAAAAATTTTTTCTTTATTCATTTTAGGGAGAGAGAAACATCAGTGAGAGAGAACATTGATTGGCCGCCTCCTGCATACCCAGGCCCACAACCTGGGCATGTGCCCTGACCGGGAATCAAACTGATGACCTCTTGGTGCCTGGGTTGACACTCTACCGCTGAGCCACACCGGCCGGGCTGGGATGTTGCTTTGCACACTGGATCACAGAAAGACTGTGACTTCTATCCTGTCTTCTCTCTCCCTCACTTGGTTGGTTGCTTGAGCGAAGCCAGCAGTTACGTTGTGAGTCACCCTCTAGAGAGGCTCATGTGGCAAAGAACTGAGGGAGACCCCTGGCCAACAGCTAGAGGAACCGATGCCCTCCCCAGCAGCCGAAGAAAGTGAATCCTGCCAACAACCACAGCAGTGAGCTTGGAATCGGATCCTTCCCCAGTCGAGCCTTAGGGTGGCGTATGTCCCGGGCAACATCTTGACGGTGGCCCGCGCGAGATCCCAAGCCAGAGGACCCGCGGGCTGCACCCAGATCCCCACACACAAAGTGAGACAATAAATGGTGGTTATTTTAAGCTGCTAGGTTTTCAGGGTCATTTGTTATGCTGCTATAAATAACAAACATACCCTCCTTCCATTGCTGGGTAGCCCCTATCACTCTGTTTCCTTTCAGGATGTTCAGAATTACTTGTGAATGAATGACTGGAGAAAGGAACGCAGGACACCCCTCGAGGGACCATGCTACAGCTCAGAAAAGCCAGAAGTGGGGGTTCAGGAGGGAGGTAGCTGGTTGACCCCAATCCCAGCAGCCCCAGAGGTTACCATCATGCCCTCTCAGTAGGAACCGGGCACTCTGGTCTCCCACCTCTTCGGAAGGACGCCGGCCAAGGGCCAGGATCTGGGCTCTCGGGGTCTCAAGTTGCTGCGTCTTGCCCTGGTCCAGACCGTATCTTTTGGATCTCCTCTGTCCTCGGGATGGCAGACCTGCTTCTCTGTGTTCTGTACGAAGATTTGCTAAATGCCTCACTTAGAGTGACCTAATGTTTATACCCTTGTCAGGCTTTTCACAAAAATAATTTAGTAGATAAGAAAAGAATCCGATTCCAGCCCATATGCCCCAATTTGTGTTTGGAAAACAGTCCCTGTGCCCATAAAAAGGAAAGGCCCGCGGAGTCCAATCCCTCCCAGCCCTTCTCCACTGGGTGCTAGGCTTCGTGGGGGCCAGAAGACCAGGGAACCTTCCAGCAAAAACATTGGGACCGTTGGAACCTGGTGCCCAGTCTGGGTCTGGCAAGGAGCTGGCCCTGTGCCCACCTAACTGAGCCATTTCCTCCTAGACTGGGGCAAGTTTCCTGCCCAGAGGGAGCTGACGCACTTCCAGGCACAGGGGGAGCCGAGTCCTCTACTGGGGGTGGGGGGTCCACAGCCTTGTCCCCCACCTCAGCTACTCTGGGGCTGGGAGGGCCCTCCTCGGAGTAGGACAAAGCAGGGGACCAGAGGTAGGGCTCAAGCTGTCAGTTGGGTGGCCACCCCTGGAGGAATCAGCTGAAACTACCCCACCCAACCTGGGGGCCAGCCCACCCTGTACCCCAGGTGTGCTCCAAGGCGGGGAGTGAAAGTCCTGAGCCAGACTGTCTGCTCCAGCACAGCCGTCTGGGGACCACAGTGGCCTTCTCTGAGAAGCGAGAGGCATAGGGGCCTGGAGTCCTCCAAGAAACTTCTCCAGCCTCACGTCCTCCCCGTGCCTCCCCGCCCCTCCCACAACCTGACCCTCACAACCTAACCCTAGGAAGCCCCTGGCTGGCCATCTCCTTTGCCCCATGGGCCCTGCGGGGGAAAGGAACCAAGCTGCCCTGGGGGTTGGGGGCTGGGCCAGGAGACCAAGACCTGATGGAGCCTCGGGCCACACTGGACAAAAGGTGGGCAGAACCACATTCCAGAACCTGCCATATTTTTCATGCCCACCTGTTAGTTTTCCTGGCCCCAATTCTTTTTTTCTTCTTCTTCTTCTTCTTCTACTTCCATTGTTGTTTCATTACAACCCATTATTTACTCTGAATTTGAAGTTTTTTTAAAAAATGCAAAATGAGCCCAGCTGGTGTGGCTCAGTGGATTGAGCACCGTCCCATGGACTGAGAGGTCCTGGTTCAATTCCTGCTCAGGGCACATGCCCGGGGTTGCGGGCTCGATCCCCAGTAGGGGGCGTGCAGGAGGCAGCATATTGATGTTTCTCTCTCACATTGATGTTTCTCTCTCTTCCTTCCTCTCTCTCTAAAAAAATAAAAGGAAACAAGCAAACACAAACAAAACATAGTAAACTCCTGACACATATCCCAGGAGCCTGCTGAGCCAGAAGAGCTGGGTCTCAGAAAAGCCTCTTGCCCTCTGCCTGTTCATGGTTCTGAGCACAGGTCTCTGAGAACAACATCTTTATTGTCTGCGGAGAGGACGAGGGAGGCCGGTAAGGGGGAAGCCACTCCGACTCGCTCCTCTCCCCCGTGTCCGAGCCCCTGCAGCAGGTCCGAGGGGGCTGTGTGTCCTGCCCGCCCTCAGTAAAGGACTGACCCAGGGGTCTCCAGGTGCCCCACCTTTTGAGGGCCTAACCTCAAAGCCTCCCCTCCATCTCGGGGGGCTCCAGTGCCCACCTCGAGTGCCAGGTGGGGGCCAACCCTGCCAGTCTGCCTCCAGGCCGCGTGCTGGTCCCAAGGCCTGCAGGTGGGACTGGGTGGGCTTGGGACAGACTAGAGTCCTCTGTGGGGCAGGTCAGGAGGGGGCCGTCTCCTGGGTCTGGGCAGGTGCTGAGGGCCAGGGCTGGCTGGGAGCTGACACCGAAGGCCTCTGGGATGAAAAATCCTGAGGGGAGGCAGGGAAGAAAGGATGAAAAATAACCCCCAATATCCTACCCCTGGGGGATATCGGGCCTCCATTTATCTAAGACCTTTATCCCATTCAGGGCCTCTGGGGCCCAGGTCAAAGGTTAACACCTGGTGATAGAGAGGGGATTCCAGCTCCTTCTGCCCCTCCCCCAAGAGAGGATGCCCCAGCTCTTGAACATGGGCCCGGGTCTAGCGATGCGCGATGCGCGGGGCGGGGTGCACACCTGTATCTGGCAAAGGTCAAGCAGAGTGCGGACGCCCACCAGGCACCAGAGCTCGCCCAGCAGGGAGATGAACACACCCAGGAGGTCCAGCCAGCGGCCCACGGTCAGCAGCAGCACGAACAGGCCACCCATGCGCACCAGCACCGTCTGGACCTGGCTCTGCAGGCCAGTGTGCTGCCGCTGCTCCTCTGTGGGGGACACACTGCCTGTCACCACCTGCCTGCCGCGACCGGTGCCCCAAACGGAGGTCCAGCTGGATCAGGGCTAGATCTCCAGCTCCCCACCCGGCTTCCCCAGTTCGAGCCTTCCCCTCCCTCTCCTACCAGCCTCTCTCTTGCTTCCGTTCCCAACCCCACTCCGAGCCCCCAGGGCACTAGGCCCTTCTGTCTCCCAGGCCTCACCGCTCAGCTGCCAGCCTCGGGCTAGTGTGCGCCCCCTGTGGTCAGGACAGAGAGCGCAGCCTCCCGCGGCAGGAGTCCGCCTGACTCCTCCCCTGCACTTCTGTGGCTGATCCATGAGTTAGTCTGTCAACACTTTCTGCCAAGCAGATCCCCACTCAAGCACACCTCGCCACTCCACTGCCCCACCCGGGTCCCAGCCATCCTCATCTCCTGTCGCAGCCCCCTCACTGGGCTCCTGGCTTCTGCTCTTGACCCTACAATTCAAGTGTCTAGTCAACAGCTCGCGCCCTTCCAAACACACCAGTGAGATGGAATCACTCCTCGGCTTGTCCCCCTCCAGCACTTCCCACTGCGTTTGGCATAAGCTCCAAACTCCTTAGAACCTCTGTGAGGTCCTGCTCCACTTGGCTGCCGCCACTCTCTGGCCTCAGCTCATCCCTGGCTTGTTCCCCGTTGCTCAAACCCCCAGCCGTCCTGGTTTCCTTGCTGTTCAGGGAGCATGTCAAGCTCATTCCCACCCCAGTGCCTTTGCACCTGCTGCTCTCCCTGCCTGACGGCCCTTCCTTTTCTCCTGCCATCCTCACTCTGCAGCCAGGAGGCTCTTCCTAGAGCCCAGATCTGACCAGGTCGCTCTCCCCCACTTAAAACCCTGCAATGGCCTTTCACTGCCCAGCCTGGCCCACAAGGGCTCCCCATCAGGCTCCTGTGAACCTCGTCAGCTTCAGCCCCTCTTGGGGTGTCAGCTACACTCAGCTTTTTTTTTTTATCCTCACCCGAGGACATTTTTTTTTTATTAATTAATTTTTGTTGCAGATGTTTCTCCTTTTCCCCCCACTGATTCCCCCCTCCCCCTCCCTCCCGGCCCTTTTGTTTTGTTTTGTTTTTTACCCGAGGACATTTTTGCATTTTCATATAGAGCGGGAGGGAGAGGGGGGAAGAGAGAGAGAGAAACATCGATGTGAGAGAGACACATGGAGTGGCTGCCACCCACATGACCCCAACGGGGCAGGGACAAACTGCAACTGAGGTATGTGCCCTTAGCGGGAACCAAACCGAGGACTCTCTGGTCCGCAGGCCAACACTCTAACCACTGAGCCAAACCGGCCAGGGCTCAGCTTTTCTTCAGTTGATGGAGGCACGCTCTCTCGCCTCTGAGCTTTGGTGTACAAGGCCATGTCCCCTTGGCCTCTCTCCGGGAGCTCCTGCTTACCCTTCAAGGTCCTCAGGGCTCCCACTGTACGCTGCACCTTCTCTGGGCTGCCCCACCACGTGGCTCCTGCCACCAGGCCAGGCGCTCTGGGACCGTAGGGGTGGGCCGGCTTGTCTGCCGCCCCGGATCTAGAGCAGTGCTGGGCCCACGTCAGGAAGCAGGATGCGGGGCAGTGCCCGGGACCCCGCCTGTGCCCTTACCTTGCATGTAGATGACCAGCAGGGTGTAGCAGATGGTGAGCGGCGTCCAGAAGCCCACGGCCTCCGAGGTGCTCAGGAAGTCCCGGTTGATGAGGGCCACGGCCGCCAGGTCGCCCACAGCGAAGGCCGCGACCAGGGCCCGGCCCAGCAGCGAGGGCAGGCCCTGCGCGCCCGTCAGCAGCCCCAGGCAGACCCCGCAGCAGCGCTGGCTGCTGTGCAGCTCGTAGAGGCGGCAGACGTGGCGGCGGAGGCGCTGGGCCGCCCTGCTCAGCAGCGCGGCCAGCCCGAGGCCCAGCAGCAGGTTCAGGGTGCGGTGAGGGGCGCCCTCCTGCAGGAAGCTCAGGCCGCAGCTCAGCCCGCAGCCCAGCGAGTACTGGCTCAGCAGGTACAGCTGCAGCCTCTCGGTGCTCCGCGAGCCCTGGCGGGGAGGTGGCAGAAGAGGGGCCGCAATGGTGGGGCTCAGGTCTGCCCTCACCACTGGGACACCGAGGGGTGCCGGGGTACAAACACTTCAGGCCACAGGAGGCTGGAGCCCAAAGGAACCCTGAAGATCGTTCCCAAAGAGGGGACATTGCCTTCATGTCCAGCCCTAAGGGGATCATTTCAGCTTACTTTCATTCATGGTATTGCTCGGGGTGTGTGTGCTGAAGCAGGTGGAGGCTCAGAGCCTTGCACACCTGGTTTCAAGCCTCATTCTACTTTCTGTGGGTTGGCCACAGACAAGCACCTACTCTCTCTGAGCCTTAGCTTCCCCACCTGTGGAACGGGGATCACGCAAACCTTTACCCCCGTGGTTGTGAGGATAGTGGAACGATGAACGCAAACAGTCTAGTTTGTGGGAAGCTCTTCGTGAGCTGGGTCGTATCCACTCTGAGTGGGCCCTGGGCCTGGGAGTCACAGCCCGAGGAGGCAGCTGTCCTCGGGCCTCAGTCTTTCAGAGGGGTGCTGAGGGGAGACGCTCAGGTGGGCCCAGCTGTCTGTGTTGGGGTGAAAACCGGGGCCCATCGCAGGCAGCGGGCACCTCCTGCAGCCTCACCTTGCCCAGGGAGAGCAGCGTGGAGATGGCCCTGAGGGAGAACTCCAGCACCACGAGGGAGGCCACCCGGGTCCCCACGACTGCCAGGATCAGGGCCAGCCCGGCCAGGTGCACGGTCTCCAGCGAGGCCCACCGGGCCCTCAGCCGCTCCTTTTCCAGCCGCCGCTCCGGGTTGCTGAGGGGCAGAGTGGGTGCAGGCACAGGGGTCGACCCATCAGCCTGGGCCCTGGAGGGGATCCCGGGGTCCTCAGCCACACTCCCTGGCCGGACGGGCGGTCTTGCTCCCAGTCCTCCCTCATAGACTAGAGTCGCAGCTGGGGGCCCAGGAGTGGGCAGGGGAGGTGGCACTCACTTGGCACAGCCCACGAAGAAGTAAACCTTCAGGAGGCTGTTGAGGACGAAGACTCCGCAGGCCCCGGTGAGGCCTGAGGTGGGAGGGAGAGTAAGCATGCTGGGCAGGGTCAGAGGAGGGGCCACCCAGGTGCTGGGAGACCTGTGGGTGGGGTCCACCCTGCACTGCTCCGAGCAGGCCCTGGAGGGGGTGGGGAGGACATGCTCACCTTTCAGGATAGAGTCGAGGAGGAGGCCAGAGCCCCACTCGAGGGAGGACAGGCCAGGGAGCCAGGAGGGGAGGGACGGCAGGGAGAACATGGCCGCCAGATCCAGCCCCAGCCTAGGGCCAGGTCTGCACCGGAGTGACTGATGTCACCGGGCAAAGGTGTCAGTGGAGCCTGGAGCCGAGGGGGGTGGGAGGGGTCAAAGGCCCAGGGCCGGGAAGGCAGGGGGGAGGAGAGTCAGAGGCCGTAAACCTGCAGCTGCAGGGACAGTGGGACCAACCGCTGCCCAGGTGTTCCCAACCGCTGCCCAGGTGTTCCCATCTGGGCAGATGGGGCGAAGGGGCACCTCTGGGGCTGGTCTCTATCTCTGTCCCTGCTCAAGTCTGGTACCCGATTTTCTCACCCTCCCTTAAGGTTTGCCACAGGGGCTTCCTGAAGCCCAGACCTTGTCTGTCCTTAGTCATCTGCTGTCCCCCAGCCTTAGATCTGGGTTCGGTCCTCTCAGCCCCAAATCTGGAAGGGGGCATCTGTTCCCCTACATTCCTGAGGGCAGGCTCTATTCTCAGCCTGAAGTCTGGAGGCAGACTTTTATCCCCCCTCCGCCTGAGGTTGGGCTCCATCTCTGGGCCCCTTCCCCTCAGCCACTGGCTGCCCGCCGCGACTATTCTCTCTGTGTCCACTAGGTGGCAGACCTCGCCCGGGCCAGGGGGGATGGGGCTGGACTTCCCAGTTCTTTTGGATCCTCCTTTCCCAGACTAAAGTAGCCAGGGAGGGGGCTCTGGGAGAAGGGGAGACCGAGAGGTCGGGGGGTTCGGGGGTTCAGGGGTTGTGGAGACTGAGACTGCCGGCAGAGGGGAGTCACTGAAGTAAAGAAAATAGAAAACTTTATTGGTTTGGAGTGTTGGTAGGAGGGCCCCAGGGAAGGTAGTTCAGGCTGCTTGACCTGGGTGTCCGCCTCTGTAGCACAAAGGTCACTCCCCTGCCCTGGACTCAGCCTCCTCATCTGAACAACGGGTCTCTCCAGGGCTCCCCTTCAGAGTTGTCATGACGATCTGTGCAAATGCCCACAGCGCTGGGCGCCTGGGGGCGGCGCTCAGTAAAAGTCCTTAGTGAATGTGGTGGGCAGAATTGTGTCCCCAACTCATATAATGAAGCCCAAGCTCCCAGGACCTCAGAATGGGACTGTAGTTGGAGTCTGTCTTTAAAGAGGTGTCTGGTGTCCTTAGAAGAGGAGGTCAGGGCACAGACATGCACCGAAGGAAAAACACAAGGAGAAGTCAGCCATCTACATGCCAAGGACAGAGGCCTCAGAGGACACCAACCCTGCTGAGCCCGTAACCGGGGACATCTGGCTTCCGGATTGTGGGAAAATCACCGTCTGTTGTTACAGCCGCCCAGGCTGAGGCACCTGCTCCAGCAGCTCTGACTACCCGGAGGATGACGCGCCTCCGGTGCACCCCGGGTCTCCTCATGGCTGCTGCGATCCCTCAGGGACACTCCACCCCGTGGTCTGGTCCTTGCCGAGGGCTGAGTTCCAGTCCTGCCTTTCTACTCCAAAGCTGTGAGGCTTCCATCAAAGCCCTTTACCCGTCTGAGCCTCGGCTCAGAGGATTTTATCACCTCACACGGTTGTTTTGGCTGAAGTGAGCTGACGCGGGTAAGTGGCCCAGCTCACGGTGATGAGGCTCTGGGAGAGGCAACCCCAAGGAGAAGGAAGGAAAGAGAGCTTCCTGGAGAATAGATGGGCAGTGATTCGGAGCAGGGTGGGGGGTCACGGGGCTGGGTGGACCAGAGCTGTCCACACTCTCCAGGCCGGTGGCAGAGCCTGGGCCTGTGGCTCTGAGATGGCCACTCCCACCTGCATCAGGATGTGGGGCTGAGCGACGCCGCCTAGGTGCCCGGCTCCGGCCCTATCTGGCCAGCTTCCGGAGCTCATCCCAGAAGAGCATGCTGAGGATGGTGTGGGGGCCCAGGCGCAGGTAGGCGGGGCCCAGGCCCTTGTAGAGCGCCAGGGGGCCCTCCTGTCTCCAGATCTTCACCAGGCAGTCAGCGAGGCCCGCATACAGCTGGCCCTGGGGACAGACACAGGGTGGGTGTCACCACAGGGTCTGTCTGTGTGTAAGGGCTTCCGTGGCACCTCAGAAAAGGCACCCCCCAAGCTAGGCAAATGACAGGAAGATGGCCCTTTAGGTTGCAACATTTAAAAAGAGGTCCCTTTTTTCAGACAGCCGCATCCTGCCCGCCCAGGAGCCCACCCAGCCCAGGGAGCTGCCAGGGCCCAGTTAGGCTAGTGGTGCACGGGTAGATTTTGTCCAAACTCAGCCTCTGGAGGAGATCGGTGTGCTGGGCACCAGCGTACATGACGGCGGGTGCCTGTGTGTGAGGCCGTGGGGTCAGGCCTGACTTCCTGCGCAGGCTCTTCCCCTTACCAGCAGGGTGACCTCAAGTCACTTGACATCTCTGAGCCTCAGTGTCCTCATCAGGAACATGAAGGTGGTTGTGAGGATGGAATCAAGTCCAGGTGCTCAGCACGTTCACACCTCACGTGTGTGTGTGTGTGTGTGTGTGTGGAAGGGTCCCCTCCAGCTCCCCACACCCTCTTCACCTGGCCCCTGCTCACCCTGCCAGCCCCGTCCACGGGCTGATTATAGAGCCGTGTGCTGACCACATCGAAGGGGGTCATGACCGCGACCACAGCTACGCTGCTGATCATGCCTCCGGCCAGAGCCACCAGCCAGCTGTCTTCTGGGAGCCACTGTGGGGGTGGTCCAGGCTGCTGATACCTGCTGCTGCCCTCCACCCACCTCCAGACCAGAGGACAAGACCCCCAGCCACCCCCTCGCCCCCACAGCTTTGGGATTCACTGCTGACGCCCCGTTCCTGCTGGGCCCAGGGGTCTGGAGGGGCTCTGTCTGTCACCACCCCCTGGGATTCCCTGTGTGAGGGTCCAGCTGGAGATGTCCAGGTGTGATTCAGACCCAGACAGGGAGAAAGGAGGCAGGTGGTCGTCCTCTCTCCTGTGCATCTGTGTGGGTAGGTGCAGCTGTCCCTGGCCCCTCACCTGTCGCTCCTGCACCCAGGCCTTGGCAGAGGCGAAGGTGGCCAGCTGGGCAGCTGAGCCAACCATGACTCGGGGCACAGCCCCACCCACACCCCGCCACAGACCTGCCAGGCCCTGCTGCCGCCAGATGGTCTCCATGGCGCCCAGGACGCTCTGTGGGGAGAGGGCACAGGGTCACTGGGCAGCCCCTGCCCGCCCAGGAGCCCACCCAGCCCAGGGAGCTCTGGGGAGTGACAGTCCCACCTGGTGATGGTGCTGGTGCCCCACGGCCATCTCGGCCACCGTCTGGGCCTGCAGCTGCGTTTTGATCTGAGAGCAGAGGGGGTGGAGGGCTTAGGGCTGGAGTCCTGGGAGAGCCCGCAGACCTTTGTCTGTGGAGGTCACCCCTCCCTGGTGCCCAGGGCAGACTGCAGCCCACCTGGCATCTGGACTTCCAGGAGCCCACAGCTGCTGCTTAGGGGATACATGAAACAGGGTTGGGGTGAGTCTCCAGAGTTGGCCTGGGTCGAGTTAACCTTCCGTGTGCTCACCTTTGAGAACTGTTCTGAGGACTAAGGGAGAGGCCGAGGTGCCAGTCCAGCCTCCATGGCCATGGCTCCGTGGGAGCTCAGGACCCAGGGTGGGGACTTCAGGGGAGCGAGGATGGGGCAAGGTCCTGGTGCCCGGGGCAGATTGCAGGCCTGGGCAGGGAAGTTCCAGGGAGCAGCCCCACCCAGCCGGCCCCACCCCACCTGTTTACAGAAGCTGCAGAGCCCCGGAGGGAGCTGGGTCACGGGATGGTGGAGACAAGGCACTCACCAGATAAGCGGGGCTCCCCACGAAGGCTCCCAGCGCCCCAGCCACAGCACCTGCCACCACGGTGCCACCTGGCTGCTGGGTGAGGCCAGCCTGGCAGGCCAGGCCGTAGCAGTAGAAGCGGACGCTGTTCATGAGGCCCTGGTAGAGGAGGCTGGCGGCCAGCCCCTTCTGCAAGCCACACAGCCCATCTGCTCTGGCCACGGCGGCCACTGAGGCCACAAAGCCCCGGTAGGGCTGCGGGTAGGTGCCCGGGGCCTGCAGCTCCCCTTGCAGCTGCAGCCGTGTCTTCACCACCTCCAGGGGGTTGGTGAAGACACAGGCCAGGCAGCAGGCGGAGGCGCCCAGCACCAGGTCCACAGTCGGGGCCACCGTTTCCTCTGCGCCCGCAGCGGGCTGTGCCCGGGTCAGGGGCATGGCACAGACCCCGGGGTGGTGGCGCTTAGGCTGCCCGCACCCCTGAAAGGCTAGGGATCGAGGTGGCCTGGGGCCATGTCTGGAGGGCGGGGGTCCAGGCCCGCAGCTGCCAGGAGGTTCATCTACCCCGGGAGTCCACTTGCTGTGCTCAGCGCTGGGGCTGTTGGTGCCTGGGACACACCCCTGCCACTCTGACCAATCCTGGCTGCTTCTGTTCTCCACACCTCCCGGCCAGGGCGGGCCTAGACCCTGGGATCTGGGGGAAAGTTCACCTACACCAGAGATTGGAGGCGGGGAGATGGTGCCAATCAGCCGGGACACCGCCTCCTGCCCCTTTTGTCCTCCTGCCCTTCCTCTGGCCTTGGGGCAAAGGGCCGGGGCCCCCCCCCCCCCCTGCTTTGGCTCAGCCAGTCCTGCTGCAGCTTAGAGCTCTGGGCTTGAGCAACTGTCCTGGGAGGCTCCTGGCCACAGCCTGCCCAGGCAACTCAGCAACTGCCCAGGCCCACCCTTGTAGCTGTGTGACGTCCCCTCTCCTGGCTCCAGTCTTTGGTCCCACTGTCGGTAAGAGCCAGGTGGAGGGCTGACCTTGACTCCCAGGGCACATCACCTCCCCTCTCTAAACTTCCGTCTCTCCCTCTGTGAAGCGGGATACCCGTACGCACTTCAGGGTCTGGAGGGTTAGAGATGTGTGAACAGTACCCGGCGGTCCACATCCCCCGCCTGGAGGGCCCCTGGGTGGTAGATGGGAAAATAAGGCTCCCGTGTCCCTCGGCACCTCCTGGGTTGTAGCTTTCTCTGCGCGAGCCCTGGCATGGGAACGGCCCCTGTACCTGGTGAGAGGGGCCCTTCCACCCCCGACACTGCTGCCAGGCACCAGGCTGCTCAGGCGGGGGCCAGAACCACCCTGCCTCACCCCAAGCCCAGTCAAAACCAGAGGCAGAGCCGTCCTGCCTGGAACCCACCTCTGTAGCCCCCCCCCCCACCCCTTTCCTCCCAGGTGTGAGGCCCTGGAGGAAATGGCTCCCCTAGCCTGGCAGGCTTGGCATCCTTTAGCCAGCCCCCGACAGCAGCTCAACGGGGGGCTTGGGAACGGCTTATCCAGAGTGGCTGGTGTGCACCCCGAGCCGGGAGGCTGGGAGGCGAAGAGCCTGCCTGGTGGTGGAGACATGCCCCCCACTGCCGTTGCCCTGCCCCTGGCCACTGCGGGAAACAGGAGGGAGGGCAAAGGTCCGGCCCAGACACTCCCGGCCTGGCTGCTGCACAGGCTGCAGGGGATCCGGCTCCCTGTGCACACGACACGGGCGGCTGGTGAGCACTTGTGGAACGAAGGACGGAGAGACAGGGCCTGAGAAGAGGGATGGATGGCCCCTCCGCCCCAGTCAAAAAGGGCCAGTGACAAGTCTTGGCAATATAACATATCTATTTTATTTTAAAAAACAAACCCCAAACCACCTGACTCCGTCCCCCTAGAGGGCCCTTGACAAAGCTCTTGGGAAGGGCCTGGCTCTAGCCAAGCAGGGGCAGTCAGGAGGCTCCAGCATGGCCACCAGGCTGCTCCCCTCCAAGCCCCCGTCCCTCCCTTTTGTTCCCGGTGAAAGGGGACAGCCTGCTTCCTAGGTCCACGGGCACTGCCAGGTTCAGGGGACATGCAGGGCCTCCTGGCAGCCAGGGAGGGCCAGTCCCGCCCCGGCCCTAGCCCTGGGAGGCGGGCAGCAGTGTGCTCGGGGAGTCAGTGAGGAGACATGCAGTGAGACCTGTGTCCCAGCTCCCCGCACGGCCAGGGGATGTTCAAACACGAACAAGGAGGCCAGGCACTCAGGGCCTGGGGCAGCCTGAGCCTCTGCCCCCGGGCCCAAGAGAGGAAGAGGGACTCCTGCCCTCCTGTCCTGCTGCCCTCAGGGTCAACATGACATGCACTGCCATCCTGAAGAGATGGCGTGACTAAGGCCATGCCCTCGGGGGGCTGTGCAAATACAGAGCCCATAGGGCTCGACCCTCTGCCCCTGGCGCTTCCCAGTGCCGAGCACCCACTCGGGGGACCGGGAGGGCAGACCGTCTCAGGCTCCGCTCGTTGGTTGCGCTGCCCGAGGGGGAGGGGCTGTGGAATGGGGCGGAAGCCTGGCCCCGAGAAACACGGGAGTGCCGATCGGCGAGCCTGCCTGTCCTGCCACCAGGACGCCGGCAGCCCCTCAGCACCAGGGGTCCCGGGAGGCCCTGCCACGGCAGAGGCTGTCGCTGCGCTGCCACGCGCTGTGGATGAGGCTCAGGGCGTCCTGGAACTTCTTGTTGGAGGTTTCTTGGATGGCCTTGTGGGGGAGGTCCACCTGCGACGGGCGGGGGTCTGTGAGCCGGCCAGCCCCTCTGCTCCGGGGCAGACCTTCCGCCCTGCTCTCCTGCGCTCGGGCGGCTCAGGCTGAGACCAGGTGATGGCCCCAGCTCCCCTTCCGCCCGAGGGCCGGGCCCACAGCAGGCCCTGCTTATCTGGAGCATCTGCCTCAGCACTCAGTTCCTTTTTTAACAGAATATCCAAGAATCTTTTTCCATTGATTTTTAGAGCAAAAGGGGGGTGGAGGGGAGAAACATCAATGTGAGACAGACACATTGATGTGAGAGAGACACATCGATTGGCTGCCTCCTGCAGGGCCGGAGATTGAACCTGCAACTCAGGTACACGCCCTTGACCAGGAATCGAACCCATGACCCTCTGGTCCCTAGGCTGATGCTCTAACCGCTCAGTCAAACTGGCCAGGGCTAATTTGTGCTCTTTGAATGGAACCAAGGAGGTCAGGGATGGCGTGTCCTGGGTTCCACTTCTGGCTTAGTCAGACTCACTGGGAGTCAGGGTTGCCCTTTGGCCCTGAACGTTCGTGTCTGGCCCGGAGTGCAGGAAAGGTGTGTCCCAAAGGCCCCCAAGTCCTGCTTCCATCTGTGCCACACAGGGCTCCTGTCCTTAGGGAACAGCTCTGCCCCGCAGGCCCTGGGCACCAGGTACCTGGTAGATGGTTCTCCACCCGGAGTTCAGTGCAGACAGGAATCGGTCCAGTTCAGACGTGCAGCTCAAGTAGACGACCCAGGGCGGGAGGGGCTGCTGGCCGTCCCGGGAGAACTCCTGGGGAGAGGGCCGGGTGAGCAGGCAGCCCCCTTTCTGCGGGGCCAGCCCCCCTCCCCCACTCACCAAGACGCAGTACTCCCGGCCAGGCTCCGTGGAGACGCCGCTGACATCGGCCAGCAGGGCGGTGCCCAGGGAGCGGAAGAAGCTGGTCTGGCAGTCCTCGTGGCAGGTGAAGAGGCGGTCCTCCGTGATCACCAGGCAGCAGGGGATGCAGCTGGGAGTCACCCCCTGCGGGATCACCTGCAGGGCGGGAGAAGCCAGCTGGAGCTCCAGCAGGTGGTCGGCATCAGAAGTCCCGTCTGGGCCGCCAGCCCTCCCGCCCCTCCCTCCGGAAGTCAGGCAGGCGCTGCCCACCTCGGGCCACAGTGGGGATGGGGTGCCGGTGGGAGTTCCGGGCCACAGTGGGGATGGGGTGCCGGTGGGAGTTCCGGGCCACAGTGGGGATGGGGTGCCGGTGGGAGTTCCGGGCCACAGTGGGGATGGGGTGCCGGTGGGAGTTCCGGGCCACAGTGGGGATGGGGTGCCGGTGGGAGTTCCGGGCCACAGTGGGGATGGGGTGCCGGTGGGAGTTCCGGGCCACAGTGGGGATGGGTGCCGGTGGGAGTTCCGGGCCACAGTGGGGATGGGGTGCCGGAGGGAGTTCCGGGCCACAGTGGGGATGGGTGCCGGAGGGAGTTCCGGGCCACAGTGGGGATGGGGTGCCGGTGGGAGTTCCGGGCCACAGTGGGGATGGGGTGCCGGTGGGAGTTCCGGGCCACAGTGGGGATGGGGTGCCGGTGGGAGTTCCGGGCCACAGTGGGGATGGGGTGCCGGTGGGAGTTCCGGGCACAGGAGGCCCTGAGCGCCAGGGTCTGCTCCTGGGCTGTCCCCTGGGCCCTCATGGTGCTCCATGACTGGTGTGGGTGTGGGAAGGGACCCCGCCGGGCGGGCGTCAGATGCCGGTGGAGCAGGAGCTCACCCCCTTGGACACGGCCTGGCAGAGGTGCTGCATCCAGTCGGCCATCTCAGCCTCGCTCTGGGCGCTCAGCTCCAGGCAGGGCCGGTCGGCCAGGATGACCTGGAAGGCGTGGGGCCGGTCCGTGGTGCTGGGCCTCCGGCAGCCGCCGCACTGCTCCCCCCTGGGCCAGAGGAGGGGGTGAAGCGGAGCGAGGAGGCAGGGGTGGCCAGGGTGGGAGCCCGGGCGGTCCGAGGCGCGGGGCCCGGCCCAGTCCCAGGGTGGGGACACCAGAAGGAATCCGGACCCCCTGGCTCTCAGGAAAGGCTTGAAGCCAGTGGGCAGCCCACGCCTTTGTCTGCAACACCTTTCATGTCCAGAATCGCCCGACCCTTTTAGACACCTGCACACGGCCAGGCGAGGGCTGAGAGCCAGCTCCGAGCCCAGCTTTCCCAGGCCAGTACGTCCTCACGTCCCTGGACAGGCCTGATGGTTTCTCCAAGTGCGTGTCCATCTTCCCGTCCGCTCGGGAGCTCCCCAGAGAAGGGACCGCCTCCCCTGTCAGACTGGGGGACCCCTCCCCTAGCAAACTGGGGGACCCCTCCCCTAGCAGACTGGGGACCGCCTCCCCTAGCAGACTGGGGGACCCCTCCCCTAGCAGACTGGAGACCGCCTCCACTAGCAGACTGGGGGACCCCTCCCCTGTCAGACTAGGGGACCCCTCCCTGTCAGACTGAGGACCCCTCTCCTGTCAGACTGAGGGACCCCTCCCCTAGCAGACTGGGGACCGCCTCCCCTAGCAGACTGGGGGACCCCTCTCCTGTCAGACTAGGGGACCTCTCCCCTGTCAGACTGAGAACCCCTCCCCTAGCAGACTGGGGGACCCCTCCCCTGTCAGACTCGGGGACTCCTCCCCTAGCAGACTGGAGACCGCCTCCACTAGCAGACTGGGGGACCCCTCCCCTGTCAGACTAGGGGACCCCTCCCTGTCAGACTGAGGACCCCTCTCCTGTCAGACTGAGGGACCCCTCCCCTGTCAGACTGAGAACCCCTCCCCTAGCAGACTGGGGGACCCCTCCCCTGTCAGACTCGGGGACCCCTCCCTTGGCAGACTGGAGACCGCCTCCACTAGCAGACTGGGGACCCCTCCCCTAGCAGACTGGGGACCCCTCCCCTAGCAGACTGGGGACCACCTCCCCTAGCAGACTGGGGACCCCTCCCCTAGCAGACTGGGGACCCCTCCCCTAGCAGACTGGGGACCCCTCCCCTGTCAGACTCGGGGACTCCTCCCCTAGCAGACTGGGGACCCCTCCCCTAGCAGACTGGGGACCACCTCCCCTAGCAGACTGGGGACCCCTCCCCTAGCAGACTGGGGACCCCTCCCCTAGCAGACTGGGGACCCCTCCCCTAGCAGACTGGGGGCTGCCTCCCCCCCGGCAGACCGGACCCTTTCCAGGCCAGACGCTCTCGACCCCGAGAGGAAGCTCTCCGTCTCCCCACCCTTCGGTTCTGCAGTCCTCAGAGCTCGGCAGGACCCCGGGACGGGGCACAGGCCAGGGGGCAGGTGTGCTGGATGAGTGGGGTGCAGGGAGGGCTAGGCTGACGAGGGAGAGCCAGCTCAAGCCAGGGGGAGCAGGCGCCCCGGGCCCCGGGCTCGGCCAGACCCAACACCTCCCCAGCCCAGTGCTCGGACTCACCCCATGTTCACTGAGAGCAGGGGGGTGACATCGGTGCGGTCGGGATACTGGTAGAGGATCCCGTTGCTGCAGAGGCACAACATGGCAGGGGTGAGGCCTGCCCAGGAACTGGGGGTCGGGGGAGTCCAGAACCCGAGGCCAGGGGGGCTGCCCGTGTGGCAGGGCGGGTGAGGAGGGACAGCACTCCCGGGACAGCTCGGGGCGGCCCGGCCCAGGCCTCGGCCTGAGGCATTCTAGGCAGGCTTCTTTGGGGTGGCATGGGGTGGGAGCCCCTGGGTGGGCCCCAAAGATGGCTGGCTTTACCGAGAAGCTCTCCTACCCTGGGCTGTGTCCTCCGAGGCCCTGTGGAGGAGGGAGCCGCCCACTGCGCCCTTCTCATCAGTGACCCTTGCAAAGAGCTCCCTGCGGGGACCTGGCAGCCCCAACCTCAGGGCCCAGCCTGAGGCCCAGCTGCGGGGGCTCCCACCTGAGTACCATGAAGCAAGTCTTCCAGTGCTCCTTGCCCAGGTAGGAGGTGCCCGCCTTGTAATGCAGCATGCCTTCTTTGGTGGTGGCACCCTCAGGGGGTGAGCAGTGGCAGGGGACAGGGCCCAGGGACTCGTCCGAGGGGTCCTCCCAGTGCACGAGCCCGTAGAAGCGCACAGTAACAGCGGTCGCCTAGGGACGGGGCAGTGGACAGTGGCGAGGTCTGGGTCAGCCTCAGGAGGGGCCCCCGAGGGAGCAAGGGCACACCCCACGTGGAGGGGTGATGGAGAAATGCTAAAGACCTCTATTTGTACCTCTTGACCCTGATACCAGGGCTGGTGTCTCAGGGACAAACATCCACCCCTCAGGTTCTGTTATTTTTTTTATCATCCTCACCCGAGGACATTTTTCCATTTTTTGTTCAGGTAGAGTGGGAAGGAGAGAGAGGAAGAGAGAGAGAGAAACATCAGTGTGAAAGGGACACATCGAGTGGTCGCCACCCGCACGACCAACCAGGGCCGGGGACAAACTGCAACCGAAGTACGTGCCCTTAGCGGGAACCGAACCCGGGTCTCTCCGGACCGCAGGCCGACGCTCTAACCGCTGAGCCAAACCGGCCAGGGCGAATCTGTTTTTTTGTTTTTTTGTTTTTGTTTTCATCCTCACCCAAGGACATTTTTCCATTTTTTGTACAGATAGAGTGGGAGGGAGAGAGAGGAAGAGACAGAGAGAGAGAAATATCGATGTGAAAGGGACACATCAAGTGGCTGCCACCGCACGACCGACCAGGGCCGGGGACAAACTGCAACCGAGGTACGTGCCCTTAGCGGGAACCGAACCCGGGTCTCTCCGGACCGCAGGCCGACGCTCTAACCGCTGAGCCAAACCGGCCAGGGCGCCCCCCCCTCAGGTTCTTACCTCACACTTAGATTCCTGGGCCACGAATTTGGCCAGTGCCAGCTTCTCCATGGTGGCATCGGTCAGGATGCTGGGATAGGGTGGTTCCCGACAGCCCTTGATCATGGCTGACTTCAGTGAAGCCAAGAAGAACCTGCATAGGGAGTGGGGTTTGTTGTCAGAGGCCTGGGGGGCTCCACCTCTCAAACAGACAAGGCTTATTGCTGGGGGCTCCTGGCCTGCCTGGGTCACAGAAACTTGGGGGAAGGACCTGGCTGGAACCAGGGCTCAGGGCAGCGGGCGGGGCCATGATGTAACAGCAGTCCGTGGACATCTGATGGGGACTGGGAAAAAGCCTAACATTCCCAATGGGCAAGGGGCCTTGGGTTTTTTAAATATTTTTTTCTTTATTGATTTTAGAGAGAGGGGAAGGGAGAGGAGAGAGAGATAGAAGCAAAGATGAAAGAGAACATCAATTGGCTGCCTCCTGCACGCCGCCTACTGGGGATCGGGCCCACAACCTGGGCATGTGCCCTGACCGGGAATCGAACTGGTGACCCTTTTGGTGCATGGGTCGACGCTCAAACACTGAGCCACACCGGCCGGGCGGGCCTTGGGTTTAGACAGTGAGGGAAGACTGGACACGGGGATGCGGCTGGACTTGAACAGCAGTATGATCTTATCACATGCAGCTCGTGTGGGGCGGGGGCGGGGGCGGGATGCCACAGTCCAGCAGCAGTCGCCTGTGTTGACCACGAGTCAAACGGTCAGCATGCCTGTTCATCTTCCTGCCTCTCTGACTAGACCGAAGAGTCCAGAGGGAGCATGTCTGTTCACTTCGCATGACACGGCCACTGCCCAGCCCCGAGGGTGGGGAGCCCAGGGCACAGGCACGCCAGTGGCCAATGCCCTCTCCGGTGCAGGGGAAGGCGGGTGCGTCACTCACTCAGCCAGGGCCACGTCAGCCGTGTCCAGCAGAAACTGCTTCCTGCGGTTGGTGCACACCAGCCTCACCGTCTGCTGGTCCAGGCCCACCTGCCGGAAACCCCAGCTCACACGCACGCAGGGCTTGGCCGCTGCCCGGCGGAGGCAGCTGTGCCAGACCGAGAGCCAGCTGGGAGGGAGGACGCGCACCCTGGGTCTCCACCAGGCAGCGCTCCAGAGGGCTGGGCCCCACAGCAAACACGGACTGTGATGCCTGAACTCACCGACACGTAGTCAAGTTCACTGTAGGAAATGGCTTCTTCCACCAGGTATGGCTTCTCTGTGGCCCCTGGGAGAGGAGACCCCAATGCTTCTTACCCACAGGGGCCTCTTTGGCCTCCTCCTTTTTTCTTTTCTTTTTATCCTTACCCGAGGACATTTTTTGATATTTTGTTCATATAGAGTGGGGAGGGAGGGAGAGAGAGAGAAACATCGACGTGAAAGGGACACATCGAGTGGCTGCCACCCACACGACCCAACCAGGGCAGGGGACAAACTGCAACCGAGGTACGTGTCCTTAGCGGGAACCAAACCCGGGTCTCTCCAGACCAAAGGCCGACGCTCTAACCGCTGAGCCAAACCGGCCAGGGCTCCTGCCCCATTTTCTAAGACCTGGGCCCTCTCCCCAGAAGACCCATCTGTGCCCTGTGATCTGAAGGAGAATGACAGGGGTGCTCCTGGAGGGAGGCTCCAGGCTCAGGTCTTGGGGCTGCTGGGACTGCTGGCAACACCAAGGCATGCATTCTCATCACCACACCCAGGCAGCCGAGACGCCAGGGTGGGGAGGGGGCGGCAGGCACCTTTCCGGAGCAGGTAGACGTAGCAGTCTGTGAGCAGCACGTACAGCAGCTGCAGCGTGCCCTCCATGTGCCCCGTGCTCATCCGGATCATCTGCGGGGGGAGCAGACAGTCGGGTACCATGGCCCCTGCCTGGGCGGCGGGCAGCGGGCTTCCCCTTCCGCGTGGGCCCGCCCCTCCCCGCCCGGGCTCTCCTTCACTCCTCAGCTCCTGGGACTCACTTTGAAGAGCTGCTCTTCGTTTTCTCGAAACACATGGATCATCAGCAGGAGTAAGTGATTGTTGTCTACTCTGTGAGAGGGACAAGTGTGGGGAGGGTCAGGTGTCAGGCTGGGGCAGGGGTGGGGGAGGTGAGACAGGCAGAGAGGAGATGCACATACAGAGAGGTGATAGAGGCACCCGAGGCGGTACAGACATCCAGAGGTGGTACAGGCACCCAGAGGTGGTACAGGCACCCGGAGGTGGTACAGGCACCCAGAGGTGGTACAGGCACCCGGAGGCGGTTCAGACACCCAGAAGCAGTGCAGTTATAGTGGCTCTGCCCCCAACCAGGAGCCAAAATGAGGGAGGGGAAGCTCACAACCCTTCCTACCTCCCAGCCCAGGTTAGGTCTGGCGGGAGTTACACGGAGTTTATTTGGGGGACAGACACCGGTGGCCCTGCGTCAAGGACTGGGAGTGTCTCCTGCAAGCAGCACAGACAGCCTTGCTCACCTGAACTCTGCAGAGTGGGACATCTCAGAAGGGCTCCCCTGCCCCTCATCCACCCCAGAGTCCTCAGCGCTGCTCAGACACGGGCTGGGCTGGTCTCGCTTGAGCGGGCAAAGAGCCTCCTGGGTCCCAGGCTGCTGCTCAGCCACAAGCCCCTCACCGACTGGGGGCAACTGGGTCTCCAGTTCCTGGGTCTCTGGCTCCTGAGCCTCCTCCAGGGTGTCCTCTAGGAGTGGAGGCGCCTGTCCCTCTCCTCCTCCTCCCGCTTCTTCTTGGCCAGCAGCCGCAGGGCTACCAGGAACATGCAGCGGTTGGCTAGGCCCTGCAGGGTCATGGTTGCTGCCACCTGATGTAACAGTACTTGGACTCTCGACGGTAAAGCGGTAGAAGTCCATTGGGGCTGGAAGCCCCTCACTAAAGTCACAAAATGGCGGCCTCTCCGGGGTGTCCCCCGGAGAGCCGGTCCGAAAGGGCTGGTCGGGGGGCTCGATGTGGGAGCTCCAGGTGCGAGGGTCCAGCTGCCCGTTGAGCTGGTCGATGACCTTGCTCAGGGGCCGCCCCAAGCGCTCCATGGAGGTGTCCTTCATTTCAGGGATGAGCAGGCCCATCTGGCTGGGCTCGGAGCGCTCGCTGCTCTCAGCTGTGCTGCCGGGCCCCTCCCCCTTCTCCTGGGGGGAAGCAAAGGTGGTGTCTGGTGAGCCCCGCCCCAGGCCTGGGCTGCTGACCCGGCTGTCGCCGTCCCCGCTCCTGGCGCCGGCGTGCTGGACAGAGGCTGGGTGAAGAGGACTTGCTTCCTCGTCTGATCTGGTCTTCTTCTTCTTACCAGTTTTCTTTTTCTTGGTGACCCTGGGACAGAAATGATGGGAGAAATGAACATCTGAGCAGCACAGTACTGAGGGAAATTGATGGGTGGGGTCAAAGGAGGTGATCCTGGGTGCGTGACCTCTGAGGGCATGGCCAGAGCTTCAGTGCTGCTGGGCAGTGCTGGGTGCAGGGCCCTGGGCTGGGGCAGCGGCGGCTCAGGCCGATGGCTGGCAGAGGCAGGGACCAGCCTGAGGCGGCGCCGAGGGCAGCAGCCAGGGGGACCCCCGAGCAGGTCCGCCATGCAGCTGGCTGCGCTCCAGGCAAGAACAGACCATGGTTAGTCAGACCAATGGTGCCTCTACTCAGCCCTCCCCTAGGATGTGGGCAGTGGACCCTGAGCTGACCTCACTCCCCATCAGGTATCATCATGGGCAATTCAACCAGAAGTGTAGTCTTTTGGGCTCAAATTCTTGGCACCCACTCTTTGGTCCCAAATTGGCTGCAGTGGGCCTGGCTGAGTGACCCCAGGACTGAGCGGCTCAAGCTGCTCTGGACTCGAACCAGCCCGTGGAAGAGGGGCCCCATGCACTTCTCATTCAGAGCGAGAGTTTCAAGAGCAGGAGCCGGGAGGTCAGGGAGCCCGGGAGCTCCCCAACTGTCATCCGCCTCCACCTCCCCTTCCATGTTCCTGCTGATATGTCAAAGATACTTTTCCTGAACGAGCCATGCCGAACCCGAAGTAGTGCGCATCTCAGAAATGGTGCTTTAACGTCTAAGAACTCCCTTGGAACGCAGTCCGGTTTGCAGGGCTCTGTGGTCTGGGGTGGACTGGACAGATGCGCCCAGCCAGCCATGGCTGCTGCCTGCACCTCTGGTCTCCCAGGCCTGCTGTCTCCTCCCGCTCAAAGGACTACCAAGGAAGGGGGCGGTGCTTCGTCTCTGGGAAGATGCCAAACTACCCGTGTGGACTAAAAAGTGATGACAGAATGGTCACCAAGATGCTCCCCCCCCCCCCCCCCCACCGCTGACCTGATGACTTCGAGCTCTGTGCAGGTGTCTGGCAGCTCGGGGGTGTGGGACTCCTTCTCCTGAGAGGTGGCATGCACAGGGGTGGTGTCAGAGGAGGAGACGGTCTCCGCCTGGTCTTCATTGAAGGGGTTGTGGCGCTGGGTGGGACTCCTGGTGGACGCTTTGCTGCTGGTCAGGTCCGAGGCAGTGGAGCGAGGACCACTGACAGTGTCTGTGAGGTCTCCGTCTGGGAGGACAGGAAACAGGAGGCAGCCCAGCCCGTCAGACACCATCCGGGGACCCAGCCCCCAAAGCATGCCTTTTCTCATGAGGGAGGCAGGGGAGTTCCCCACAGGGAAGTCTGACTGGGGTGGCCCCGTTTCAAGAGTAGAAGCCCCAGCCCTACAGGACGTGGGGTTTGTGGTGTAAGCACAACTTGGAGGGGCCACGTCACCACCAGAAGCCCGGGAGCTACAGCGATTTGGGCAAATTTGATTCAGAGCTCCAGGCTGAAGCCCCTCGAGGACAGCGACCTTGGTGCCTGAAGAGGCCACACACCTCTCAGGTTGACCTGACAGCCCTCCCCCGGAGGGTGTGAGGGGCACCCAGCAGCCCCTTTAGCACAAGGCATTGGCAGGGCTGAGATACCCGAAGTCCTCTGAAGGGTCCCCCACAAAGGCAGATAAAAAGGAACAAGAAAGAACAGAGATCATAGAAAATGAGGGGTGCGGAGTGGAGCAGAGGCTGAGAGGGAGCCCCAGGGTGAGGAACGTGGAGCAGGACAGAGAAGGGGCCAGAGCACAGGAGAGGGGATGAGATGTGACGGGGACAAGAAAGGTGTGCAGAGTGGCTGTCCCCCAACAGTGCCTCGTGGGCCATTCAGTGGCTGCTTCTCTCCCTGACAACCCACCTGCACATTCCGGGGGGCAGGACCAGGTGCCCCATAAAGGCCTCACTGGCCCCCAGGCCCCCGAGGCTCTCCCCTTGGGTGGGGAGGAGGTGCTGGTCTACCTAAAGGATCCACCCCAGGTCACCGGAACAGGAAGTACCAGCAGGAAACAGCACCCGGGACATGTATCTGGTGGCAGGTGGGAGCTGCCCAAGCAGACTGAGGCCCGGCTGCTGGAACAGCCGGTGTGAGGGTCAACGGCTGGGTCACGGGCTGTTCACGCTCCATTACCACCCTATACACATCTTACGGGCCATTATCTGCCCAGGAGACATGGCAAGCATGTTCCCACCCTCAGCCTCGCCCGGGAGGGCCCAACTACTGTCAACGTCCTAGTGGAACTAGCAGCAGCTGTCTGCTGACACAGCATGTCACTGTCTTTTAATATAAGGACAAATGAGGGGCTGAAAGCGATCGTCAGTTCTGCCAGAAAAACACTAGCAATAGGTGGAGACTTTCTTCTCATGTCCTGGGACCACAGATGCAGAAAACCTTGCCCTTCGGTCTCAGAAAAGGTTCCTGCAAAGCCCACACATCTTGTTCTAGCCCCTGGAGACCTGCAGTTGTCAGGGGAGGAGTCCGAGAGGTGAGCGAGCAGACCACCGGACGTGGTGGGTGTCAAGGCTGGGGTACCTGCCCGTCCTGAAAGGAGCCAAGGACCACGGAACACCCACCCAACCCCCACCCCGGGGCCCAGACTTGGAGCTGCCCTCGTGTCCTGCTTCCCTCTGGGTCCAAGGAGAAGACCAGACCTTCCCAGGCAAGCAGTCGGGGCGGGCTCAGGACTTCTTTGGTGCTCAAGGAACTCGGAGGCAGGAGATCACTGCTGGGACAAATCTCACCCTGCCCTGGAGCCCAGCCGAGCAAGCAGTGTGACTGGGCTGTTAGGTCTCAGGCCACAGGGAGCTCTGCAGGGCTGCAGAGGGAGGTCAGGCCCTGCTTGTAAAGCAACTGCAGCAGGCACAAGTAGCTGGGTCAGGAGAGTGGTTAGTTGTTAGAACCAGAGGGGCAATGTCAATGCCGGCATGTCTGCTGCAAGAGAGGCTGAGAGGACACGTGATGTCGCGATGGAATTCTGGACGTCAAACTAACCTCAGCTAAGACGTGGGGCTCTGTGATGCCAGACGACGTAACTCATTTTCCCCAACGCCAACTTATTTCCCTCAAACTCAAGCAATTTCGTACGCCCATGCCTCGGGAAGAGATCACTGGTTGTCCATTACTCAGAGATCACGACCCTAATAACGAGGGGCCAGCTCTGGAGCCGTGGGGAGGTGCCTGTCTCTCCCCCTCCCAGAGGCTGGGCCCTCGCTCCACCCTGAGCGAAGCGGCCCAAAGGGCAAGAGGGTCTTTGACACAGGGTCTGCTTATGGCCTCAGATTTCAGGAGGAAGCATGAACCTTCTCCAAAACGTGCCTGTGCTCTGAGTGATCGCGGGAATGGAAGGAACAGCTTCTCGAATTTTCACAAGCCCAGAAGTGGGGGCAGGAAAACGCTCAAGCATTACTGCCGCCTAGTGGACGCCATGGGAGGGTGGACGGAGTTTATTTTCATTTATTTGCTTTGAAACATAAGAGAATCTCCCAGTAGGAAGTTTCATCTGTACAGGGGCAATTTCCCTTATTTGGACCTTAGTCTCTTTCAAAAATGTCTGAGAGGAAGCCACTAAGAATGGACTGAAGGAACCAAACCCTCTGCCTTTGCTGCTTGATGCTTCAGACACAGGAATGCATCTGACCTGCAGGAATTTCCACCCGCAGGTTCAAAGGCATCGCTCTCCGGAACGAGCCTCCGCTGGCCGGGTCAGGCCTCCAGGGCCCACATGCTGGCGGCTCCCCGCGCCCCAGCACACCGACCGGCACCTGGAAAGCAGTCGCTCAGTGACCCCACAGGGCCACTGCACAAGGGCAGCGGTCCTGCCCTGGGGATCTGCCTCGGGCTAAAGGTCACGCTCCCTCCTGCAGAATTCCATCTGTCAGAACACCAGCCTTGGCTTCATTACGATCATTGACATTATTACAAATAACGAGCTGATTTTGAATCATGCAGCAAGCTTGGCATGGAGACATAGCAAAAACAGGAGAAGAGGGTAAGAGCGGACTCTGTCCCACCTTCCCAGTCTGTGCTGGGTACAGACGGCACTGCTGGAAACACATCTCCAAAATCATAATCTACAGAAATGGGACAAAACTGAGGATTAGAAACAGGCCGGGGAGGGACAGGCGGGAGGGGCAATAGGGCGGGAGACATGGGAGAAAACAAGAGAGGAGAACATTAAACTTTCTACATGTTGTCTAACAACCCACCTCGGGGGACTTACTAGGACCCCAGTTGCCTCAGCTCAGGCACTGGCCCAGTGGCCTCTGACCCGCCAGGAAGACATCCGGTGGGGGGGGGGGGGCAGAGAGCCAGGTTCCGGCAGAGACCAGCACCCCTGCACCCGACCTTCTTTCTAGCCCGGGCCTTCCTTGCCTGCGGACCCAGCGGCTGAGATGGGGGCGCTGCTCCTTCGAGGCCCGTGGCTCTGGCTTCTCGGAGGCCGCCAGGGGCCCTGCCCTCCTTCGTCTTGCACAGGGAGCAAAGCAACCCTTGCTAACGGCAAGTCTGGCAGTAACGGCCCTCTCCCTGGGGCATGGCCCGTGGCACAGTTCGAAATAAAGAAAAAGGTCAGCGTTTCCATGCTGATGCAAGGCTGGGGAGCCCCTTCCCTGGGGGTGAGCTGGGGCTCAGGGATGAATCCACCTGGTTTCCCACAAGGGATGAAGATGGGAAACAGCCAGTTTGATAAAGAACACGGAGGCCTAACTTAGGGGTGGGGAACGTCCGGCCCCAGGGCTGCATAAGGCCCTCGAAATCAATCCCAGCTAACATCACTCACCTCACCAAATGAGTCTGGCTAAATACAGCAGGCTCATTTTTAAGTTGATAATTTTGTATGGCCCGGGAGTGATGTTATAAATATCCAAATGGCCCTTGGCAGGAAAAAGGTTCCCCACCCCTGATTAGGAACCAAGCTGTTCGATAAGTTTTTGGATCCAGACAGCAAAACGAGCTCCGGATGTGCCGGTTCTTTTTCAGGCTCGATGGGCTGGTGCAGTCGTCCTGCCACGAGCAGGCGAGCCCCAGACATGGCACGGACACGTGAGAACGGGGCAGGTGCCCGATACTCCGCAGCACCGGGCTCTCCTCTCTTCCCGTGGTTCCCTAGCTTTCCCCAGACTCTTTCGGCCTAGAGTCTGGGGTAGGACAACCTCCCCAGGGCAGGCAACCGCTCACCCCTGTGATCACAGGAAGTTTCCCGCTAATCCCGCCTCACTCAGAAAACTGCCCGGACATGCGACTGCAGCCTTCTGGAAGAGGGTTTGGCTTTTGTCTCCAGAGCCAGTTCTGTAGCCACCACAGGCACTCGGAGGACACAGGGAAGTGGCTGGCCCTGTGAAACTTCCATTTCTGCCGGACCAGAGCCAGCCAGGACAGACGTCACCCAGCCGGGTGCAGTGGCTCTGGGGTCAGGGTCACAGCCGAGGCCTGGCTCCTTTCCGCCTGGGGCCACTCACCCTCGCTGGACGGGGCGATGGCACTGTCGTCCCACTCCAGGTTGGTGGAGGTGACGGAGTTGAAGGAGTTGAGCGACAGGCTGTCCGAGCCATGGGCCGAGTTGGGAAGGCGGTCCTCAAAGTCCAGCAGGTACTGAGGTTTGTAGTAGTCAGGCATGTAGGGGGCCAAGTCTAAGTAAGGGGCGTCCTGGGAGAGAGGGGAAAGGCGGGTTTGGGCGGCGGGAGGCTCAGCTGGGAGTGCACGGGCCTGCCTGTCGCATCCTCCCCCTGCTAGCTTGTCTTTGGGAAACCAACGGGCTTACGGTACTAACTTCAGAAACAAGCTGCTGAAGGGAGTCCTGGAAGGGGTGTGGCTCCAAAGCTGGACGCAAAGCCGACAGAGATGACGGGCCCAACTTGACCTCTTCTAACCCCTCCTTGACCTCTTACTATTAGGTTGCACATTTCCCCTAATTCCCGCTCCTCTCCAGTAGCTAAGTTCCTTCTTAGCCAGGGCTCATGGGGCAGGGACCCAGGATCCGATTAGGACGGGGCAGCTGCATCCACCCAGAAGCCCGAGTCCCAGAGGCTCTGGGCCCCTTTGGCTGGTTCCCGGCGGCACCGTCTGTGACAACTCCAGGACCCCGGAGGCACGCGGATGAATTGCCTGGTCCGTCTCAAACACTCACGTCCTCGACATCAAGGAGAGGACCCCAGAAGTGTGGCTCTTCTCCCAGTTGGGACAGAGATAGGAAGGAGCCAGCTGAGCCAGGGAACCTGGCCTCGGTGCCAAGAGAGAATCACCCCCTGAATCACCACTCACTCCTCCTAACCCCGCCCTCACCTGCATAAACAAGGGTCGCTCAGGCCCGGTCAACCCAACCGGCTCCCTGAGAAGGACCTGAAAAATGACACCATGCCCCCCCCCACCAACTTGCAAAGCAGCGAGAGCCATGGTGTCTCACCAGGTCCAGGTCGAATCGAATGAACTCCAGCCCAGAAACCAAGGTCAGGAAGAGAGTCAGGTGATCGTGGCTGCAGACCAGGGCATTCCTGTGACACAAGATGGGGCGATGGTAATTCTGGGTCTGGTTACCAGTGTGGCCCTACCTCGCCAACACCTGGCTGTGTTGCAATGGGACATGTGATGTCCCCTTTCCCCGAGGGCACCCAGCCTGATGCAGCCGTCGTCCACCCCTTTCCAGCATTCTCCTAGTGCATCTGGGGCCACGCAGCACGCTACCGCCAGCGTCTTCAGCTCTGGGGCCTGCAGCATAAGGCCCATCTGGCTCTCAGCAGCTGCTATAAATACCCTGTTCCTGCAGCAACCCCAGCAAAGGTCGCACATTCTAGTCTGAGGCCCGGAGAGAGGATCAGGCAGAGGCAGGGCACCAGACTGCTAAACACGAGCCAGCTGGACCACCAGCACGCTGGCAAAAGCTGCCACGGGCACGGCTGACGGCCCGGTGGCGGTCACTGATATGTCCTCGGCATACAGCGCCAGGCTGGGCCTCCGATGTGGCATACCATGGTGTCTGCACGTGACAAGAGTCTTTGGGACGCGGCTCAAGGGCAGCTCTGGGGCCCCAAGAGACAGACCAGACACTCACTTGACGTAGTACTTATGCAGCAGCCCCAGGTTCTCCTGGAACAGCCGCAGGTAGCTCTCCAGGGAGTTCTCGTTGAGGGCCAGGTACAGCCAGGCCCGGCCTGCAACAAGGGCAGGAGTCACTGGAGGGAAGGTTGGTCAGGGTGTGGCGTTTTTGCCAAACAAGGGCAGGAGGGAAAGAAAGAGCCGCTGAGGGGACCATGCGTTCCAACAGCCTTGCCTCCTATTGGGGTGCCACCACCCCTGAAGTCTTTATTTTCCCACTCAGCCCCCAGCCTGTGGCTGCCCAGGGAGCTCTGATAAAGAGGGCAGATCGCCAACTTTGGCTGGGCTGACAAATGCAAGGATTCTGCACGATCCCGCAGGCTAACACTGATCCTCGCTCAGGGAGGGAAGCGAGACACATGTGCTCGGGCTGGGATTCGCTCGGAGTCTGGTTCTCTTCACCCCATCACTCCCCTTCACCCCGCCCACGGTGCTCCAACAAACTGCCAAGTGCAGAGGGAAGAGAGGCTTCGTGGGAGGCACTGGCACCTGCGCCCGAGCTACCCACAGGGAGGGCGGAGTTGGCCTTTCCCAGCGTCCACCGGGTACTACTCACTGCGCCCCAGGTTGGTGGCCACGTGCTGCAGCACCTCGATCTGTTTGATGGCCTCTCTCCGGGTGAAGTGCACCACGAGCACCCAGTAGCCCGACGAGAGGTCTTGCAGTCTGAGAAAACAGGACAGGAGCTGCTCTAGCTGAACAGGGCTCCCCGGGGAGATGCCGTCGCTGGTCCACCGGCTGTGTCAGTGGTGAGCTCAAGGCCGAAAGCAATGGGTGCCCAGCGGGACCTGCAGGCAACAGCGCGCCTTCGCCCCGTCACTGCAGCTGCTGCCAGCTCTCTCCCCCGTCACTTATGCCTGCTCAGGGACATTTCACCCGTGTAACTACGGCCAGCCTGCGGCTCTGCCAAGGGCAGGGAGAAACTGCAGGCGGACGAGGCCGGGGCCTGCTCTCTGGAGGCCCTGCAGCCGCGGCCGTGCCGGGCGGTGCCCACCGTCCCCTCTCCAGACGCTCACAGCTCACCCATACAGCAGGGCGTGGTCCAAGTGCTCACACAGACGCTGCAGGACCTTGTCGTGGTTCCGGATGGCAGGGGTCTCGTCTTCACACGCAGCAAAGTAGCTCTGCAGCTGCAGGGGGAAAACCACACACGCCAAATTAGACATGGACAAAGAGGAGGGCTGCAGAAGTCCTGGAATCGAGAAGGTTGCTGAGAAAAATGGTCAAATGACACATTCGTGGTGACCGACTCAGGAACCCACCTCAAACTGCCCGCACCTCAGGGTCCAGGGACCAAGGCTGTATCCTTACAGCTCGGGGCCCCAACAGGTGCCCCGTAAGTGCTTTGCACAATGACAGCTGGCGAGGTGGTCACCGTCCATGCGGAGGCCTCAGGTGGCACCAGGCTTCCAGCCAGGGTCCCCAAGCTACACAACCCCAGGGGCACAGCCTAGAGTGTTACGTAAATGAGCCCCAGCGCCCAGTGTAAACGCCCCACCCGCGGATTGTGCAACACGGTGGCCCTGCTTCAAGCTGCTTCTCTGGACAAACTACGGGCTGATGGGCTGGGGGAGCTGGGGGGCAGCTGCTCTGACAGTCTTCTTGCAAGAAGCTGATGTGAGACACTGGGTTTGCCTGAGGAACCTGACAAGGCTGGATATAGACCTGGGTACATGCCAGGCTCATGTCAAGCCCTAAACCAAGGACCCTGTTCTCAGGCTGGTCTGGTAAAGATGTGGACAGCGGGCGAGATCAATGCCGCTCGGAGCAAGCCCGCCCGGCTGAGTTCAGGCAAAGAAGCCCAGACGCTGGGGCTGCACCTGGTGAGCAGGGGCGCCTTTCAAGTAAAACCCTAGGGGAAGTCTTTCCGCCTTCAGTTCAGCCACACTCTGGTCTGCTGCCGCCCTTCCCGCGGCCAGAGGGGCAGGGACACAACAAAAGAGCACCCATCCCTGTACACTCATCTCGGGATTAAGCTCTTGGCGCTGGACAAACGTGTTTTCAAGCGTTTCCTGAAGCCCTGGTGGAGACAGGCAGCAGCAGGCGAGATGCAGCAACCACAGCGACTCACACGCGCGCCGGAGAGGGGCCAGCCACTCGCCCCCCGCAGAAACAGCCTCTCTTCTCTGTGGGTCAGGCAGGCCTGGCCAGGGCGGACCTCAGCCCCTGGGGTCTGTCCTGCCTCCTGAGAAGCAGGCAGCAGAGCCCCAGGAGGAGTGGTTTCCAGGACCCAGGACGGGAAGGAAGAGCAGTGTGAAAACCACTCGCTCCCTCCCGCGCAGCAACGGCTGGAAGTCTTCCCATCCACTTGGCTACCGAGAACCACAGCGCCAGTGGCGGGGCTGGGGTGTGTGTGTGTGTGTGTGTGTGTGTGTGTGTGAGAGAGAGAGAGAGAATCCAAGGAAATGTGAGATCAGAGAGGCTTAGATGTTAGTGTTAGAAAGATCTTCAGAGATCTAGTGTCATTCCCTGACTCAAAGGGCAAAATGGGCTTCTTCATTTTCTTCATTACAGAAGTAGCCATACCCACCATCACACTTGAAAACATGGAAAAGTTTAAAATGTTTAAAAAAAAATCCTCACCCAAGGACATTTTTCAATTTATCTTCAGATACGGAGGGAGGGAGGGAAGAGACAGAAATATGGATGTGAGAGAGACACATCAACTGGTTGCCTTCTGCACGACCCCGATCAGGGCCAGGGCCAATCCGTAACCGAGGTACGAACCCGTAACTCATTGGTCCAAGGGCTGACGCTCTAGCCACTGAGCCCAACCAGCCAGGGCAAGTTTAAAATATTTCTTTCTTTCTTTTTAAGCAGAGAAGGTGGCTAAAGCCAGTGGAAGTTGTCCTTCACTATGATTTTCAGCTGAGTGAGGGAGCCACGGCTGGAAGGCAGACTCCTTTCTCAGGCTGGTACCTCAAGCCCTGGCTGGCTTGGCTCAGCAGTTAGTGTCAGCCCTCAGACCGAAGGGTCTCGGGTTCGATTCCCAGCCCCAGTCTGGGTCGTGTGGGAGGCAACCAATCAATGTCTGTCTGTCTGTCTGTCTCTCCCCCTTCCACTCTATCTAAAAATCAATGGAAAAATATCTGTGGGTGAGGATTAATAACAATAAAAAAAGATACCTTAAAAAAATTATTCCTGAGCCAGTTGCTGTGGAGCTGGGCTGGAGGTGGGAAGGGGGGGGTCCTGTCAGAGGGGCCTGTCTGCTCCCCTGGCTCCCAGTGACGAGGGAGACTAGGCTAGGGTCTAGGGAAGGAACAGAAGGTGACAACCATGCCTCTGCTTCAGCGAAGGTACCAGAATACATGGACTTCCCACCTGTTATTTTGGGAACAGTATGGGCCTTTCCACTGACTAATGTAGGCAAGCTATAAATACAATGATTTCCTGGACCTTTGTTCTTATATTTATGTGCATTTTAAATCAAGCCAACCCCACGTGCTAGTGATTTGCAGCTTATTATCTTTTCTACTAAAGCAAGAAAAGAATCCTTGGCTCACACATTAGCATGACCTCTGTGTCCCGGCAGAGCTCGGCATGTTTTATTCTAATAAATAAAGTACTTTCTTCACAGTAAAAATAATAATAAAAAAAATTCCAGAAACAACATTTGCTCATCATAAAAATACAAGTGATATGGAAGCGAATGTAAATATAAAAACCTCCTGCTCCTGAAAGTTGCTGTTTCTTAACAATACATCAAGTGCATATTTCTGTATCATTACATGCAGATCCACTATATTCTTTTTTTTTTTTTTTGAGAGAGAGAGAGAAACATCGATCAGCTGCCTCCCGTACACACTCCGATCAAGCCCACAACCTGGGCATGTACCAGGAATCGAACTGATGACCTTTAGGTGCACAGGATGATGTTCAACCAACTGAGCCACACCGGCCAGGGCCACTCCATCCATGTTCATAGCCACACTGTATTCTAAGATGTGAGGTACTGTGCCCTAACCAGGTTAGATATGGCTACTGTCTCCAATTCTTTGATATTACACAAAATATTGCAACAAACGTGGGTGGATGCCTGTGTGGGTATTTCTGCACCGTGAGTGCTTGGAGTAGAACCGCAGAGCTAAAGAACATGAATATTTACAACTTGGCTGGAACCGGCCATCCGCCTTTCTGAAAGGTTGGGTCAGTTTACACTCCTACCATGCTGGCCAACACCGGATTTAATTCATCTAATTTTTGCCAGTCCCAGTGGTGAAGAACAGTACTTAATTGTTTTAAATTGTACTTCTTTGATCACAAATGCAGTTCAACATCTTTATTAGCCATTTGAATGTAATATTTCTGTGAATTACCTATTCATAACCTCTGCCTGATCTTCTGGCTGCTTGTGTTTTCTTATTTGCTGCAGCTCTGTATTCGTTAAGAATTTAATCCTGTTTGTTACAATGTTTTTTTGCTTTTGGGTAGAACAAGTCTACCCCACCCCCCAAATTCATTTTCAAAACTGTTTTGACCATTCTGGTACATTCTTTAGAATCAAATTTCATTACAATTCCCCTTTGGATATGGAATAGAGATATACTGAATCCAGAGATTATTTGTGGGGAGAAATGGTACTTTTGTAATACAGTACTAAGTCTTCCTATCCAGGAACATGGAATTCTCTCCCTCCCCCCCCTCCCCCCCCATTTATACAAGTTTTCTTCTATATCCTTTGGTAAGTTTTTCTTTTTTTTAATGTTTTATTTATTTTTTTAGAGAGAGGGGAAGGGAGAGAGAGAGAGAAACATCGACTGGCTGCCTCCTACACGCCCCCCACTGGGGATCGAGCCCACAATCCAGGCATGTGCTTTGCCTGGGAATCGAACCGGGACCTCTCAGTCCATGGGACAACACTCAACTCACTAAGCCACACCAGCTGGACTCCTTTGGTAAGTTTTTTTTAAAATGAGGGCCCATAATCTTCATTTTATTTTATTAAAAAAAATTTTTTTTTGTTATTGATTTTAGAGAGAGAAGAAGGGAGAGGGAGAGAGAGATAGAAACACTGATGAGAGAGAACATCGACTGGCCGCCTCCTGCACGCCCCCCACTGGGGATCGGGCCCACAACCTGGGCGTGTGCCCTGACCGAGAACCAAACCGGCGACCTCCTGGTGCACGGATCGACGCTCAACCACTGAGCCACACCGGCCAGGGCTTTATTTTACTTTTTAAAATATGTTTTTATTGATTTTATGGAAAGGAAAGGAGAGGGAGAGACTGAAACATCAATGAGAGAGAATCAACTGGCTGCCTCTTGCAAGTCCCCTACTGAAGACTGACACCCACAGCCCAGGCATGTGCCCTGCCCTGGAATAGAACCAGTGAACTCCTGGTGCATAGGATGGTGCCCAACCAATTGAGACACACTGGCCAGGCTCCTTTGGTAACATTTACAGCTTTCTTTACATAGGTCTTGTACATTTATTTCCAGGTGGGTTGCATACACACACATACACACAGACACACAGTATTGTGAATTAGGCAGCAGTCTGCAACCGGGAAACAATTCATGTAAAAAGTCTAATAGAAAGATAGAAAGGGGGTATAACATGGTAGTGCAGAGTGGGGGCTCTGGCAGGGGTCACGGGTGCAAAGCCTGGCTCTGCTACAAGAGTTGAGCACCTTTAGCAAATTACTTAACCTTCATTTTAAAAATGGGTTAACCCTCTAACTCTCGTCTGGAAAATGGGTTACAACTCTCCATTTAGCAGCCACTAATTTTTTTTCCCTTTATTGATTAGAGAGAGAGAGGAAGAGAGAGGGAGAGAGAGATGGAAACATCGATGAGAGAGAACATCAACTGGCCGCCTCCTGCATGCCCCCCTCGGGGACTGGGCCCACAACCTGGGCATGTGTCCAGACCAGGAATCGAACTGGCGACCTCTCGGTGCATGGGTCAATGCTCAACCAACCACTGAGCCATACCGGCTGGACCAGTAGCCACTAATTATATGTAACTATTTAAATTTAAATTAATTAAAATAAAATGAAAAGAAAATTAAATTCTTCAGTTGCACAAGCCACCTTTCAAATGCTCAGAGGCCACACGTGGCTGGTGGACACCACATTGGACAGAGCAGATACAGAACATCCCACCACTACAGAAAGTTCCACTGAACCGT